TTTTTTCTCCCCTTAAAGGTCGGGTGGTTTGTGAAAAAAAAAAGAAGCTTAAAACAAAAATAAAGGGGGAGGCCTTAAGAAGTTTAAAATAATTTTTGTTTCCCTTCACGTTATCCTAGAGGAAAAAAACGAGCCACCAAAAAAAAAAAAACCCCCCCCCCCAACCCACTTAATTTTATTATTGGCTAAAAGGGGTGGGGGAGCACCCCGGGGATATTTTTTTGGGGTTGGCTTTTTTTTTTTTTTTTATCCTTTTGAACGAAGGAAGCCCCTCCCCAAATAAAAAAAAGGGGGGGAAAAATAAAAAAAAAAATTATAAAGGACAAAGAAAAAAAAAAAAAAGGGCCCGTTTTTTATTTAAACAAAAACACCACAAAAAAAAAAAATTTTTTATCCCCGGGGGGACCCCCCGGGCCCAAACCGAGTATAAACAAAAAAAAACCAATAACCCAAATATGTAAATCTCCATATTGATGTTTTTTTTTTTTTGGGCGGAGGGAGGGGGCAGGGCACCTTGAGGGGGAGAAAAAGGGAGGGGGAGGGGGGGGGCTACCGTGGCGTATTCCGCACCGTTTGGGAGGTTTTTGTGAGACCCCGCTTTGGGTGAGTTGGCCCGCCCCCCCCCCCCGCCAGCTTATTGTGCTTTGCCTGGGGGGGCCCCCTTTCGGGGAAGACACAAAGGGAAAGGGGGGAGGCCCCAACCCAAATGCTTTTGGTGGTTTTTCATTTAGTTTGTTGGGGGGGTGCGGGGGCACCACCGCCGGGGCCGGGGGGGAGAAGAAAAAATTTATTTTTTTTGGGGTTTTCGGAGAGGAATGGGTGGTCAGGGAGTGGGGGGGAAAAGGGACCCCCTCCCCGCGCAACCAGGGTGGGGGGGGTGAATCGCCCCGCAATCGGACCCCAAACCCCTTATTTTCCCGCCCCTTTTTTTTTTCGCGCGCAAATTTTTTTTTTTTGGGGGGAAGGTTTTGCCTCGGGCCACCTCACCTCTAAGAATTTAAATTGGAATAGCCCTAAAAGTGGGGGGCCAAGAAATTGACTTTTGATGATAAATTTCCATATTAATTCGGTTTTTTTTCCCCCAAAAAAGGGGCCCTTGTGGGGAACCCCCCGTCCCCCACCCCGGGGGGTGTGGTGAGGAGTGGGAGGGGGGAGGTGAATAGTGGTGAGGAAAGACCCCATAAGGGTGTGTGTGGTTATCCAAAAAAAATTTCAATTAACTATTCTTTGGAAGATGTTACCTTTCTTTTGTGTATATTTTTTGTTTTTCCCCCAGAGTTTTTTTTGGAAAAAAGGGGGGGGGGGCGGGGCCCCCAAAAAAAAAAAAAAAAAAAACCCCCCCTTTTTTTTTAAACTTTGTTTTTTTCCCTTGGGGGGTAACCAAAGAGGCCTGGATGGCACGAAAAAGGAAAAGGGGAGGCGGGGAGGAGTTTCCCATTTTTTTTTTTCTTTTTTAAAAAAAAAAGGTGAAAAAAATATTTAAGGGGCGGGGGAAGGAAATAAAATTTTTTAAAAATTTTTTTTTTTTATTTTTTCCAATTTTTTTTTTTTTTTTTTTTTGAAAGAGGACACGGGGGAAAATTTTTCAAAAACACCGGCTAATA